TAAGAATTTGTAATGCACAAGAAATGTTACCAAAACTAAATAGTTTTCAGTAACAGCTGATTGCCACAGAGCAGAAGTTTGAGCAATTCCTAGGCTGGGTTGTTTTGAAATCTCTTAGTTATGTGGAGTCCAGGGTTGGCTGTAGATCAACGGACCTCCTGGAAATGGTTTAAAAATCAAGATGAGGGGGGTAGATGAGCTCCGTCACATTTTATCAGAAAATTCAATATAAGCAAACAGACAAACAAGGGAACAAAAGAAGCCAAACAGAATGTAAGACAAAGGCTTACAAAAACCAAACCAAAAGAAGAACCAGGAATTCTGTCGGGGAAACCCCTTAATCTCCTCTTCCAAAAGCAGAAGAACTCTGCCTTGACCAGAAACAGAGAGACAGAGTTCCTACCAGAGGGGCAAGGGACGTCTTCCAGCCCCTGCAGCAGGGAGCCCACTAGCACGTCTGCCTGGACCTCCCAGCCTCCAAAATGATCCGGATCACAGTTTTCTGATAAACAATTGTAAGGACACAGAAGAAAAACTAAAAGAACAAGTACTCAACCAGTTTCTAAGGTTTAAGTGCAATGCACTAGGGTTCCTCTAGGGTTAGTTGTACCCATCCTTTTCACTTTCAGGTCTTGGATCCAGACTATTTCTAATAAGAGTCCATAAGCTGAAAGCATCCACAGGTACCTTACTGGGACCATGTGCAGCATAATAATCTTATAATCATTTTCCTACCTTACTACAAGTATCTAAGTTTACAGTGCCTCCTTCAGGGAACCAGGGACAAACCATTTCAACAAATTCTAAAAAAATTACACAGCTGTTGCTGCCCAACTCGAGAACCACGGACACGCAATAAATCTCTAAGCATATGTACAAAAAGCATGCAACTATTGCCGGCTCCCATTTTTAATATTTACAAGAAAATTCACTGCTCCGTACCTTTTCATTGAGGCCTCATTCTTCTCCGCGGTGTCCTTCACTGGATCCCTTGATACTCAGGTCCCTGTTCGGGCGCCACTTGTGGCACCCCAACCATCACAACACGAACCAGCCTGAGATGGGGAGTAAGGATTGAGAAAGGAAAGAACACTGAAACCGGAGTGGAGACCAAGAGATGATGCCACTTGTGGCACCCCAGCCATCACAACATGAACCAGCCTGAGATGGGGAGTGAGGATTGAGAAAGGAAAGAACACTCAAACCGGAGTGGAGACCAAGAGATGTCTGATTTATTTCACAGAAACAGCTCCCTTTAAAGGCACATTAACAGGAAGCACCTGACTCCTACAACTAACATCAGCTGTTTGGCTATCACCAGGAAGCATCTGACTCCTACAGCTAACATCATATCTTTGGCTATCAACAGGAAGCACCTGACTCCTACAGCTAACGTCAGATGTTTGGCTATCAACAGGAAGCACCTGACTCCTACAGCTAATGTCAGATCTTTGGCTATCTCTTTGAGTTCCTCCCATCACAGGGTCAAAGAACAAACAAGTTTAACAATCAGTGTCCTTGAAAAGGAACAACTCTTAACAAATGTTAATCAGGAACATTCTGATCACACATTGTGTCAGTGCCTTAATTTGCAGAGGAAGAAGTTATCTTTCAAATGTCAAATGCCAATGGCCCATGACTGGCCTCCAAAATATTAAAACAGAAACTCTAAGCCTACTACAAAATAGATTAGATAGAACTGTTGAAGACACTGGAATAGGAAAAGACTTTATATGAACAAACCCTCAGTCTAGGGGAAGTAGAAAATGTAACCTATAACTGAGATCTGAGCTGATTAAAATTTTTCTACACAATTAGAAAAACCACCAACAGAGTTAATAGAAATATGGGGGAAATATACCACCTGTTTTTCAGACAAAGGTCTAGTAAAGAGAATTTTTAAAGAACTTTAAAGAGTTAGACCACACCAAAATTAAAGACCCAGTCCAAAAATTGCCGTCTTAAATGAACAGACATTTCTCAGACAGAGAAGTAGAAATAGTAAATGACCATATTAAAAATATTCAACATCACTGGTTATTAAAGAGACGCAACTGAAAATAGTACTAATATTCCACCTCACCCCGGAAAGAATGGCTGCTATCATGAAATCAACCAATAACAAAAGTTGGCAGGGCTGTTGGGAAAAAGGACCTCTTCTCCACTCAGTGGTAGTGTACATGAATGCAATCATTTTGGAAATCATTGTGGAGATTCTTCAAAAGCTAGAATTAGAAGTTCTATTTGACCCAGCCATCCTCCTTCTGGGTATCATTCCAAAAGAATGAAAATCATTATATCACAGCAATATATGCCCACCCATGTATATAGCCACAGAGTTTGTAATACCTAAATCTTGGACTGGATAATGGTAGTGTACATGAATGCAATCATTTTGGAAATCATTGTGGAGATTCTTCAAAAGCTAGAATTAGAAGTTCTATTTGACCCAGCCATCCTCCTTCTGGGTATCATTCCAAAAGAATGAAAATCATTATATCACAGCAATATATGCCCACCCATGTATATAGCCACAGAGTTTGTAATACCTAAATCTTGGACTGGATAAAGAAGATGCATTTTTTGCTCAATAAATTAGAGTACTACTCAGCCATAAAGAATGATAAAGTAGAGGCATTTATAGTTAAACGAATGCATATTGAGGCCATCATCTTAAGTGAAATAAGGAGGACACACATGTGTAAATACCAAATTGCTTCTCTGGTATGAGAAACTGAAGTGCCAAAATGTATAATAGATAATATGAAATAGGAAGCAAAGGTTCAAGGGTTAAGGGGAAGTAGGAAGGTGGGGGAAAGGAAAGAAGGAAAAGAGAAAATGTGAGAACAGAAGGAAGAAAATGTAAACAAATCTTTTGTAAAAAGGGAAGTGTGGTGTATGGAGGGGAGGCAAGCAGAAAAGGAGGGAAAGCAGAACTAAGGTATATCATGATAGGTAAATTTTCCCAAAGCTGAATGTGATCATAAAGTATACATAAAATGGACCAGTAAAATAAATTTCAAAGGGGAAAGAATAAATTTAATTGGAGTTACAGAAAAGCTAGATGATAATTCATATGGAGGTACTAATATGTTTACAGAAAGAGTTCACCATTCTCTTAAGTGAGGCATCCAAAACACCAAACAACTATACTGAAAAATGAATCTCACCAAGACATGCTTATTGAATTACCAGGGAACAAAGAAAAAGAACAAAACCAAAACTTTAAAACCAGAGTAAAACAAAAAAATACTACAGATAAAGGTAAAACGTTTACAAATACAGCAAGACTTCTCAACAGAAACCTTAAAGGCCAGAAGAGTTTGGAGTGAAGTATTTCAACCTCTGAGAGCAAATAATTTTCAACCCGGATTAACATATCCAACAAAGCTTTCCTTCAACATAGCAGTGAGGCCCTTTCATGTAAAACATTGGCTCAAGAGATACATGATTGTGCAACCACCACTCCAGAAAATATTCAAGAATATTTTAGATATAAGCATGAAACCAGTAAACCTAAAAACCAAGATGAAATGAAAACACCATGCAAGGTCAATACATGAACAGCAGTCAAAAATGACTCAGTCTATTTCAACTCCCCCATGGTTCTTAGACAATTGTGGACCCCCAAACTCAGAGCACAGCCATCCCCTCAATGGACTGCTTCACACAAGCATCTTTTTCTCAACTTTGAATGTATAGAAGTTATGGTCCTGACCGTGGTGGCCTATGATGAGTTTGTGGCCCTCCACAACCCAATGAGTTACTCAGCCATCTTAAACCACCGTCTTTGTGAAGTCACAGACTTGATTTTTATTTTTCCTTATCTTTTTGAGCTGACATGTACAACTTTACTGTACTCAGACTTGCCTATTTCAAGGATTGTCAATCTCTTATGTACCCTGCCCACCTCCTTAATCTTCTCCATTTGGACAACTTTCCCTGTACCATAGCGAAATTCTGATGGTGCCACATTCTTTTGTCAGCCAAACTTATGGTGTATCTTCTTATATTAAAGTTGTTTTATCATCTGAAAATCATCATCTGCTACCTAAAACCCATATCTTCTCTACTTTTGAGTCCTGAATGTCAGTCAGTTGCTTGCTTATTTTATGGAACATGTGTGAAAGACTATATTGACTCAGGTTTATTAAATTTTACCAGAAACAGTGTAACAGCCACAGTGATGTGTACTTGGTTCACCCGTGTGTTGAATCCCTTCACAGCCTGAGGAACAAAGTAAATGTAAGTACTGTGGGGAGACTACAGAAGAACAGTAAATGTCACAACATCTAGCATTTTGGTTATGTTAGTATGATGATTTCACGGCTTAAAATTTCCAGTGTAATGCTGTGAGAATGGAGAACGAATTTCAAAGTGGAACATAAGTTTTCAGATTGAAGAAAGAAAAGTTCTTGAAGGTATATGATACTGAGTGACTTACAACAATATTACAGTGTATACTGATTATGGTTAAGAATGTAATTTTGTTAGTGGATTTCTCTTCCAAAATGAAGTAAAGTCAAATAACCATGTAAAAAGTGCATATAAATGACAGAAGTGATTAGGAAATGATACTTTCTTTTCCTTTTTTCCCCATTAAGTTCATTGGTACATTTAAAGAAAACAATACAAGGTACTCTTATTTGAGTAGGTGAAGAATCCAAAATCTCTTGTGGATGTTAATATTTCTTTTGTCACCTTCTTCCCTTTCATGGGAAGTCCTTAGAGACTGATAGCATGGACCAACATGACTAATTATGAGCTTTGTGCACTGAGACCCAAGGTCACAGCGTAGGCAATAATTAGCCTCCAGCCCTTTAGTGATTCCAGACCTGTTTCCAGCTCCATTCCAGTGTCTGAGGCTCTATTGTTCTCTGTATGATGAAGCTTCTACGTGTCTTTGTATTAATTTCAATGCTGAGGACAGACTGAACCTTCCCTGTGCAGCAGACATAAGGGGCTCTGTGGACCTGATCTCTTTCACTATAACCCAGCAGAGAAACGGCATCTCCCAGTAAGTGCAAAGCGACCGCACTGTTATAAGAAGGATGCTTAAAGGTATTATTTCCTTATCCTGAGGAGCAGCATGATATTTTTGGTGAGCAGATGTGAGGGTACAAATGTGAAAAGTAGCAATTGTAAAGAATGGAAATTTTATGATTTTTGTTGTAGTGGGGAATTACAGAATTATTTTTCCAAGTTTGCTTTCCAGTCTCCCTGTTTCTCTTCCATTGATGCCTCACCCATAACAGCAGAAAACACTCCCTGCTGCAGTGTCTCCTAAGTGCTCTAGAAGGATTATAAGGGCAATGATCGGATATTGAGAAAGGCAGTAACCACACCGTCATGAACTGGATTTTAGTACTTCCTATCTTCCAGGTACAAATTCCTAGTGAAATTCTCAGTCACTCAGCCATTTCCTCTATGTGTCTTGCTTTATTTCATGTTCTCCGTCTTCCTGGAGTTATATTTGCCTACATTATTATTGCTGGTAAAAAAAATGGAAGAATCTGTCACTTTCATAGAAGCTGCATTAGGTTGCTATGTAAAATAATGACTAGGTGGAGCTGGGTTGTCTGATTACAAACATAGGATGTTCTGTGAGGTTGTCTCTTAGCACAAGCAGACAATTAATTTTCTGTTACTTCAAGGGAGGTCCCAGGCTCACTGTGCCCTTCATGTCAGAGTTTTCTAAAAGTTCACAGAGCAGACCAGTGATGCCTCCAGCCACATTCACCAAAGACAGATGTGGATGACAGGCAAAGATCTGAGATAATGCTTCCTTGAGGGAGCACAGATTTCTCCCCTGCCACCACTGCAAGGCATTTTTGAACTTTCCACATTCATCTCCATGCTTTGCTTGCCCTTATTTCCAAACAACTGCAATATGGAAAAGCCATGTCTTGATTTCATTTCTCTGACAGAGTTGCAAATGTGCCTCTAAAGCGCCTATGATTATCAAATCTAAACCTTTGCAAAAGTCTCTCAGTGTATTGGAAACTAAAATTTTTTTCAGTGTATCAGATAGGATCTATCGACTTATTTTTTAGTCTTTTCAGCTCATTATTTCAAGGATGTAGGGGAGGTTTTAAATATCTCTGACAGAACTTTTTCATTAAGGTTAAATTTTACTTGAAGCAACTGCACTGAGGATTATGCAGATAAGGAGTGTTCAATTTAGGGTTAATGTGCATAAAAATAGAGCCAATTAAAATTTAGCTATCATCGCTATCAACGAGAAGTGTAATTTTTACTATTTATCTCCTGTGTCCTGTAGTCACTCATTTTCTATTTCTGTTACATGTCACTTTGTTTGTTTTTGTGCATCTATATGCATACGTGTGGAGAGGAATGATGTACTTTTCTTTACAGCTGATTTTCCAGACCTATAGCTTGTTTTTCACAAAGGAGACATCAAAAATTAAAACCTGTGTTCAGCATTGAATGCACCCTTCCCTGAGTCACAAGCTCCATTCATTTCACAAATGTAAAGACAAGACAACATATATTTTGTTTGTTGTCTGAGTGCATGGACACTGTAATATTCTAAATTTTGCCTCTATGGATTATTTAGAAACAAAACACCACAGATATATTCATATTGTTTTAAAAGCACAAAGAGAAGCGGGCTGATGACTGCATGCCTGAAACTTAGGAGGATTAAAAGTCTTCATACCACTTCAGGCTCCATTTGAATGCAGTTTACTTATGCTTAAAAAACTTCCTATTTGGTTAATGGTGTACATCTTTATTTTAAAAACAAAAGCTGACCTATGAGAAGCAATGAATGCAGTCCTATAAGGAAAATTTATAGCCATGAACTTTCACATCAGGAAAACAAAGCAAGCTCAAATAAACAACCTAATACGGAATCTTAAATTTCTAGGAAAAGAACGAATCAATTTGATTCTTATTTACACTTTTGTGTAATAGTAAAAACGTCTAAAGGTGCAGGGGAAGTGCGAGTGGTAGGGTGAAAGCTAAGTAGGGTAAAGAAAAAATAAGAGAAAAGTAAAAAAATGGAAACAAAGTCTCTGTAAATAGGTAAAGGTGGAGGAGTTGATGGGAGGGTAGGGGAAGGGGGAAAAATAAGAGCCAAAATATATCATGAAAAGGTACAAGATCCCAATGATAAATCTAACCACATTGTATACATAAAATGTACCAATAAAGAAAAAAAGGCAAAATATAGAAAAAAGAAGCACAAATCAAGCCTATAGCTCTTACAAGGGAGGAAATTATAAAGGTCACAACAGAGATTAATGCAATGGAGACTAAGAAATCTCACAATTGCTAAATAGTTAAGCTATAGGGCTCCCTAGTTGTCACACATGTGAATGAAAGCTATTTTCCTTCTTTTTCTCAAGCATTATGAGCACAGATAGGAAGAGAGATTCACATATATTCTGCCCTTGGTAACAGGTCAATGACACATGACTAACATACTTACTTCTAAAGTGCTACTCCTTGGCCGCAGGCTCCACATCCGAAGCAAAATTGAAATGTTATTCCTTATGTGATGATGACATTTCTTTGTGTCGTATCATAAACAGATCATTACTGAAAAGATGGCAGTAATATTTTGCAGGTTAATCTGATGAATAAGAGGATATAGGTAAAAATGAGTCTCCTATTTTGCAAAACATGAAATTTTACATGCATTATTTCTTCAAAAGCAGAAAAATATCACTGCAATGCATTATACAACCATTTTAACAAGAGTAAATGGGAAAGAAGCAAAAGAATTTTGACAATATTATCATTCTAATTAACTTACAATGTAAATGAGTCGTCCCTCTCCCTCCCTCACCTACCTTTGATAGGATTGAAGAAGACCTAAAAACCACTCATTGTGGATACTATCTACACTACTTGGGGGGCAGTAGATGTTCTACTACACACTAAGATGCATTTTAGATTTCTTTTCGGTAAATTTTTAAGGAAATTGCTTGTGGATTCATCAATCAGTCTTGACCTGGAAATACTGACAAGAAAATTCATAGACATGAGACCAGGGGAAATGACAGCAAGCACTCAAATTTTTAGGTAATCGTTCAGAGATCTAAAGAATATTATTGATGGTGTAAATATTATTAAATACTTATGTTAATATCTGTAGATACTATGCATAGGAAATTTTGAATGCTAGCAGATATTCTCAGACTGTGGTACTTAACTGTTGTTTAAGAAAATGACTCAAAATTTTGAAATATAAATATTCTAATTAATATATTAGGCTAAGCCTAAAGTATCTGGAGATATGACAATTGTCTCCAGATAAATATATTCCTAACAGAATGAACAGTGATGCAAATTAAGGGATTTTCAAATATTTTCTTACACCACCGACATAAGGTAGATAATTATTATCCCGATTTTACACTCGAGGGGAAAGTACATTATTTGCATGTATGTTAAGATTTCACATAACTTGTCCTATTGATTATGAGTTTTAAAGTGTGCGTACATTATTTCATATCCTATTTGTGATATTTTTCCCAATTAAAATCACAGAATGGCCTGAGGAAAATTTGGGTCCCATTTTCCATGGCATAGCTGAAAAATGAAAAATGCAACTCCTGTTTCAGGACAGACTGATGTGAAAACCTGCTCATTAGAATTCGGAAAGCTGGAATTCAACCAATTGGGAGTTTCTTTTATTTCCAAAGTGGTCAACTTGCTACCAGAGGGTTTATGATCAGAACAGCAGCAAAGCGTTTTATCAAGCTATGGTAGACTACAGAGTCAAGGAAGAGATGTCTCATATAGCACATAATTTACTGATATTGTATGACTATATACACCTGTATAAAATTTCAAAAGGCAAAAGCACTTCTTATCATTTATTATTTTTCTGTATACAGCACACCCTAGTCTACATCTGTGGTAATTATGTCCAAAGATTATATGCATGTATCTGAAGGGACAAAATATGAATCTGAGTGCAAACAAAGACAAGGATGAAAGTTTCTTATTGCATAATTTATACCTAAACAAATGTATACATCATTTCTTCACAAAGACTCAGTAAGGCCTTGCATTCCTACAAGAAGGAATTAGAAAAAACAACAAAACTGAATAATCATTATTTTTTAACACAATGGCTCAAAGCAAACCGTTCTGATTGCAGAGAATTATCTTTAATTTTCAGATAATAAAATCCTAGACTTTATAGTATTTGTAGACACCCTAATCAAGGAATATTGTAGCATTTTAAGAGTGCAAAATGTAAAATATTTGAATGCTTTTCAATTTTCTTCCAATGGGATCCTATTTTCTTAAAGAGGGATGGCTTAACTAACCATATACATTTTGGAAAAAAGTTTCCACATTTTACTGTGATCAAGGACTTCAGAACTCTATATCCTTGATCTGCTTACACCATGAAATAGAGCATCAGTAAAGTAAAAGTGTACAGAGGAGGTGGCACACAATCCACCCAACACGGAGTCCCAGATGTGGTTTATCATGAAAGAGCATATCATGGAATGTTGCGGATCCCTGCTAGGAATTCTTTGTTTATGAATATTTGAAAGCAGAATATATGTAGAGCTTTGGTGATATTTTTCTTTCATTTTTTTCTATGAAATTTATTGAAACATTCTCAAGCAACATGGAAAGACATAATCTCACACATGTCTTAGAGTTCCATCTCATGAGCTTCTCAGAGGACCCAGACCTGCAGCCCATCCTCTTTGGACTGTTCCTGTCCATGTACCTGGTCACAGTGCTCGGGAACCTGCTCATCATCCTGGCCATCAGCTCTGACTCCCACCTCCACACCCCCATGTACTTCTTCCTCTCCAACCTGTCCTTGGCTGACATCGGTTTCACTTCCTCTACAGTCCCGAGGATGATTGTGGGCATCTCAACTCAAAGCAGGGTCATCTCCTATGGGGCCTGCCTCACACAGATGTCACTTTTTATCCTTTTTGCATGTACGGACAGCATACTTCTGACAGTGATGGCCTATGACCGCTTTGTGGCCATCTGCCACCCCCTCCACTATGCAGTTATCATGAACCCTCGCCGCTGTAAATTATTACTTTTGCTGTCAGTCTTTGCTAGCCTTGTGGATTCCCAGGTACACAATTTAACTACCTTACAATTTACCTGTTTCAAAGAAGTGGAAATTGCTAGTTTCTTTTGTGACCCTCCTCAAATCTTTGACCTTTCATGTTCTGATTCCTTAATCAAAAACATAGTCACATATGTGGTTGGAATCCTCCTTGGTTTCTTTCCCCTGTCAGGGATCATTTTCTCCTACTATAAAATTGTTTCTGCCCTTCTAAAAATCCCCTTATCTGGGGGGAGGTACAAAGCCTTTTCTACCTGTGGTTCTCACCTGTCAGTTGTTTGCTTATTTTATGGAACAGGCATTGGAACGTATCTTGGTTCAATTGTATCATATTCTCCCAGAAAGGGCATGGTGGCCTCACTGATGTACACTGTGGTCACCCCGATGCTGAATCCCTTCATCTACAGCCTGAGGAACAAGGACATCAGTAGCACCATGAAGAGGCTCCACCATTGGAAAATCTAATCCCAGGAACTTTGCCATTTATTGAGTGTGGTTTATAAAATGTGTTAATAAAGAAAGTCCAAAACTTATCTGAAAATCCTAAATCTTTCATCCTTGGTTTTATTGTTCATTTTTTTCTGAAATTTGTTATCTTTAACCTCATATAACGTTTTATTACAGAGCCATGAGTGTTTGAGGGGTGGTATTTAGTGTACTTCCTACAGGTGCAAATTTCAGTTGGGAAAATGAAAAATTTCTGGAGATGTCTAGGAGTGAATTTTAGACATTTCCAAGATTGGAATATGGGCCAATATGGTATCAGCTGTGTGCACTGACATTTAAAAGTTCTGTGACATGGCATAAGCAGTCAATTCTTTTCATGTTTGCTTGACATCTGGATATGTCTGTATTTACCCCTTCATGTTCATCTGAATCAGGAAGTCCATATTTGACACCATCCAAATCAATTCTCTATGCTTTCCTTGAGCTCTTTCTGGTCCTCAGGGAGGTGAGGAGTGTGGGATAAGCTTGAACATTCCATAGTAGACACACAGACTAACTCGGAAAGTAACGGATGGAGGAAAGACCGTTGGAAACATTGCTTCTCAGGATGAAGACATTTGGACAGTGGGATGGGTGATGGTTGTGTGCAGTTTCAGCTCAGAGGACTGTGAAACATTTGTATTTGATTATTACAGGATACCCAAAATCTCAGCTGAAGTTTTCCTTTCCTTGCACAAGTCTTGTTTCTCATAGACATCCAACCCATGATAGGATACTGTGGCTGTCAGTAAACTATTTATTCAAAATCTCCAAAGAATGATGGTAGAGACAAGGAAGATAATCATAAGGATGAAAATAGCCATCATGTCATGAAGCAATGAATGAAGATTTCCTTTATAGCAGCATCTAAGTTATGCATTCAATATAATTCATTTAAATTTATTTTTATTGAGTTTATTGGTACTTTTTAAGTATACAATCTTGGTTCATTTTTCTCCATATCCCTGCCCTCCCTTCACCCCCTCCGCCCTCCCCTTCATGTGCACATTTCTGAATAAAAGTCCCTATATTATCACTTTAAAAGGAAATAGGGAGAGTGCATTTTTGTATAATTAGTTACACGTTTTGGGCAGAAACAAGTGAAAAAATATTTGCACAAGGGTCTCATGATGCACACGGGGCATTTTACCAGGCAAATCCAGGCACATATTTCTTTGACACTACAAGCACCCATTTTTCTTTCCCATCCCTCCCATCTCTTACTGTACTCTCCCCTTAGGAGTTCCGAGTAGATCAGGGGTGACAACTGCTGCATCCACTTTAGAAAGGAAATCTAGAAGTAAAGATCAAAGATTGAGAAGCTCTACAATGATTAGTTTTTCTTTCATGCCTGACCCCCACTCTATGCATTCCTTGAAGTTCTCCATATCCTACTCCTCTTTTATGAATCATTCTTGTCAATGTCTTCAAGAAAAATCATGTCAGGTTAGATTTCTCTCCAACTGTAAAAACTGAAAAGAGTTTAATTTTCATATATATGACTACAGTACAGATGCAATAACCTCTGCCGAAAACTTTATGATTGTTAAGAATGACCATGACTTACAGATCACACACAGAGACTGACAACTTAATTTGGAATTATGTCTCCACCACTTACTAGTACGTGAAGTATGGCACGTTGTTTTCAATCTTTCACACCTGAGTTCATTTCTAGTTTACTTTTTTCTCATTGAGTTTATTGGTACATTTTAGGTATACAGTACAGTTACATTCGTCATTGGGCTCTTGTGCCATTACATGACAGGTCTTGGGTCTCATTTTCCTCCATACTCCTGCCCTCTCTTCACCCCCTCATTTCTAGTTTATACTACTGCATTAAGCATGGATTAAACATGTTAGATGCTTCTCCAATTATTAATAGGTAATGAATATATAATATAAGGCTAAATTTGAAAGTAGATGGCATCAGTAGAACAAATGATAAAAGATTCAATTTAACAACATTCAAATAAAATTGGCAGGTATCTAAAGTTGTCATTTTAGTTTTTGCATAATGGAACATTTTGTACTTGCGTTGTGCAAGTATATGCATGTATTTAGAGAAAATTCATGTCTCACTCCCCAGTTTTTATCTCCATCATGGAACACAGAAGTAATTACAAGCAAAATCTTTGCAAAAGAATAAGTAGACTCTATTGACACATTAATTGGCCAGTTTTTCAGAAATCATAGAAATTTTTTTCACAGATGTAAAAACTACACACATAAAAAAGAACGTAATGTCAGAAATGTTGCTGAGACAATAATTACCATTTTACTTCATCATAAGCTTCAGTCCCCTTGATAACAAATTTTCTATCTGTGTAGAGTGCTTTACATCCCTGGTAGCTCACCATGATTGTATAGCGGTTAGTAATCTGTGATGTGTGTAGAATGAGTTCCAAATTTCATATAGGTATATATGTTTTTGAAATGGGTGATCATTTCCATATTTCTACGAAGGAGTAAGAGCAGAAGAAACTGTATGTATTTATATTCACTGCACATTTATTCGCAAGTAAATACTATGTGACTAACGGTTTAATTTCCCAATGCTCATCCCACTTTACAGTCTCCTGTAATGCAAGGTGAAATTTTTTGATCACTAATGATGCAAGGATTACTATTAAACATACCTCAGGGAAATTTTTGAAATTATACCTTAGGAATCTGATTATAGGATAGGACTAATTTTTTATTGGGAAAATATAAGTGATAGTAATATTGAGTACACATCATATGTTGAATTTAAAACATACACCCTCCACTCACATAGTGTCTGGAAATTTTCACTTGCTTGAAATGAAGACAGACATGGGAATTTTGAAAGGATAACATTATCATAATAAAGTCACAAATTATATGATGTCCTTTCATATGACAAAGCTGAGAAACAATGAAAACAGTTGAAATAGAATAAGTACTTTCCAGAAAGCCTTGAATTTACCTTGAATATAAGCTGGTACATTGCAGGATAATAAGTATGTTGTAGGCTGCTTAGAAGAGTACTAGTTAACCTCAGTGTATGTTTTAAATAAATCAGTATGTGAGTACTAAACAAATATTAAGCATATTTGAGGTAAGATTTTTTCAGAATCAGTTTAGGAATACATAAGTCTTTACTGATATGAGGATAATGACAGTCCGTTCTGCTCACCCAGCTGTGAGTAGGTTCTACTCACCTAAATATGCATTGCATTTAGGAACAAGTGTGAAAGAGAATGGAGTTATGTAGAGATATCAAAAACTAAAGTTTAGTAGATAATCATTTACATCTGTATGACATATCAAATCTGTATAATGTATCAAATTTATACCAAATTCAAATCTGGGTAAAGCATCAATTCTGAGTCAAGCATTAATAAGTGTTGATGTATTAATATAGACAGTGGATATTTTTGTCAGTAAGATAATACTAAAGAGTTACTGTCTAAATGCAGAAAATATTCTCGGGCAGTGGTCTTCTATTTTGGTGTTAAGAAAAATCACTTATGAACATGAAAAGAAGATCTGTATAAATAGATTTCCAAATGAGGGTACAGTAGTTGGGTATTAAAAACCCTTCCCAGTTAAATATATTGACAAATGAAGCTGACATTTACTTTTTTTCTTTTTTTTTCAGCTTTAATTGAGTTTATTGGTACATTTTAGGGATACAGTACAGTTACATTCATTGTTGGGATCTTGTACCTCTACATGACAAGTCTTGATTCTCATTTTTTCCCCTTACCTCTGCCCTCCTTTCACCCCCTCCACCCCTCCCCATCTACAAACACTTTATTTTCATCTTTTCATTCTCTCACATTTTTTTCTTTTCCCTTTTTACTCTTCCCCTACCCATCCCACCTTCCCTACACCTTTAGCTCCTTTCTTCCCATTTCTAAAAAGTCAGTAATCTTATCAGAATCTTATGCATTGTTGCAGATTATTCACACCAGGGAAACTATTTGGTGTTTACACACGTGTGACTTATTTATTTCACTTAGGAGTATATCTTCAATATGTATCAATTTTCCTATGAATAAATCTATTTTCTCGTTCTTTATGGTTGAGTAATATTCCATTTTATAGAAAAACCACAACTTCTTTATCCAGTTTCCAACGGATAGGCAAATGGGCTGTTTCCAAGATTTAGCTATTACAAACTGTGCCGCTATAAACATGGGTGCACATACTTCTCTGTGATATGATTCTTTTAGTTCTCTTGGAAAGATACCCAGCAGAGGGATGGCTGGGTCAAATGGAACCTCCAGTCCAAGCTCTTTGAGGTATCTCCATATTGATTTCCATAGTGGTTGCAACAGTCTGCACTCCCACCAACAATGGAGAAGGGTTCCTTTCTCCCCACAACCCCGCCAACATTTGTTATTGTGTGATTTCTTGATAGCACCCATTCTTTGTGGGGTGAGGTGGAATCTCAGTGTTGTTTTCATCCGCATCTCTCGAATGACCAGTGATGTGGAACATTTTTTCAAATATTTTCTAGCTGCTTTTACTTCTTTGTCTGAGAAATGTCTCTTCATTTCGGATGCCCATTTTTGAATCCGGTCTTTATATTTGGAGGGACTGATTGTTTTGAGTTCTTTATATATCCTTGATAATAGTCCTTTGTCTGAGGAACAGCTGGTAAAAATATTTTCCCACATTGTAGGTTGTCTCTTAGTTCTGCTGATGGTTTCTTTTGAAGTGCAGAAGCTTTTTAGTAAGATGAGATCCCAGTTGTTGATTCTATCTGCTAGTTCCCGTGCTACTGAGGATTTGTTCATAAAGTCTTTTCCTATACCAATGTCTTCCAGAGTTCTGCCTAACTTACCTTCCAGCAAGTTTAATGTTTCTGTTTTAATATTTAGATTTTTAATCCATTTGGATTTTAATTTAGTGCATGGTGAAAGATAAGGGCCTAATTTTACTCTGTGGCAGGTTGACATCCAGTTTTTCCAACACCATTTATTAAAGAGGCTATCTTTCCTCCACTGAGGATGGTCGAGGCTGATATTTTCTATCTATGGAAAGTTGCAGTGATTTTTTTGCAAAAATCGTATAAACTAAGTATTGATGATCTTCATTTGATTTTAAAGAAACAGCCAAGATCTGTTAACATTGTTATGTGAAAATTTCTATTTGCATTTCCCCTAAGTGAATCATATTGATAGTTAAGTATTAAACCTGAGTTGCCTCCAGGTAGGTAAAATAAGTGCATTGAAATCTATGCATCAGAATGTTTGAAGTAAAACTCTGCTAACTAAGGACAAGAAAGTTAGGACTCAACTCTGGAATTCTGAGCTTTCCTTGGTTCTGAAATTTTTACTCTTATATGTGAGAATTTACATTCATAAAATGAGGAAATGGTATTTCCAGTACTCTAGCCTATGGAGAAAAGACAAAAAACCAAAACGCAAGTATTTACATACCAGATATTTTGCCTACGATGAACTGGTCTTTATCATAAAACTATATATCTTATAATTGAGTATTTTATATTAAAGAGAGAGGCAATGTGCACTAATGCTACATTAGTGGTTAGTGTACACATGTGATTATACACATTAAGTAAGTACATATCTATGCAAATTTGAATTACAACAAAGAATAGGACATGTGCAATGAATTATGTGATTTTTGAAAGGAAAAAATATGTCTGAGAACTGAAATTCACTAAGGAGGGAGATTATAGATTCAAGAATGATTAAACTCCTCAATGATAAAGGAAACATAATGATGTTTTCTGATTATAAACCATCAAATTAATTAGTGTAGAAATAGCATAATTTAGTTATTTCAAATTATTTAAATCAGGGATTTCTCCTATTATTTAAGAGTTAAAAAGCTGTATATTTGATTGCTTTCAAATATGTAATTAGTAATACTTGTAATTAGTATTTCTTCTTTTGTCACAAGTAAATAGCTTGATACTGAAGAGGATATCAAAAAAATGGAAAGACAGTTTTTGTTCTTGGGTAGGAAAAATCAAAATAGTGAAAATAGCCACAGTTTCAAACCTTCTATATAGATTCAATGCCGTCCCAATAGAAACTCCAACATTGTCTTTCACAGAAATAGAGAAAACAACCCAAAACTTCATTTGAAACAAGGTGAGACCTAGAATAGCAAAAGCATTTCTAGACAACAAAGACAAGGCAGGGAGTTTTACAACTTAAAACTATAATGTAAAATGTACTGTGACAAAAAACAGCATATTGATGACAAAAAAAGTCCTGAGGATCAGTGGAACAGATTAGAAGATGCAGAAACAACTCCAGACATACCAAACCACCTCATCTTCATCAAAGGAGCCAAACACCCTCACTGGAAGAAAGATAGCCTTTTAATAACTAGTGCTGGTTGCACATGGGTCATTCTGCAAAATAGACCACATACTTGCTCATAAAACATGTTTAAATAAATGTAATTGAGCTGAACTTGTCCCATGTATATTATCAAACTATATTGCAATTAGATTGGAGATTAATAGCATAAGAAACCCCAAAATGTCACAAACATGTGGAAAGTAATCAGCACACTTCTGGACAATGAAGGGGTCAGAGGAGAAATTAAAGAAGAAATTAAAGATTTTTGAAAAGCAAATGATAATGCTAATACAACATACAAGTATCTGTGGAACACAATAAAAGCAGTTCTACAAGGAAACAAGATCCCAATAATGAATGTAACTGTACTATATACCTAAAATGTACCAATAAACTCAATGAAAAAAATACAAGTAAAATTTATAGCGGTGAACACCCACACTAAGAAAACACAATGATCTCAAAGAAACAGCCTAATGCTCAATCTTATTCTCCTAGAGAACGAAGAGCAGGAAAAACCCAAAGCTCATGCAAGAGAGGAAATTGTAAAGATCACACCAGTAATCAATGCAATGGAGACCAAGAAAATGATTTTTAAAAATCAATGAATCAAAGAGTTGGTTTTTCAAAAGAAGAATTAAATTCGATTAACCCTTAGCCAGCCATATAAAAAAAGAAAAAAGGCTCAAATCCATGCAATCAGGAATGAAAAAAGTGAAGCCACAACAGATTCAGCAAAATTCAGACAATCGTTAATACCTACTTTGAGAACCTGTACTCTAATAAAATGGAAAACACATAAGAAATGGATAGATTCCTAGATACGTATGAATTATCAAATTTGAAAAAAAGAAGGTATAAAAATTCCAAACACCCCAAATACAATCAGTGAAACTGAAATTGTAAACAAAAATTTACCAAGAAAAGCCCAGGACCTGACGGCTTCCATGCTGAACTTTACAAGACATTAAGAGAAGAACTATTGCTCTGCTCTCTAAAATTTTCAATGAAATTAAAAGTGAAGCAATACTTCCAAATTCATTCCTGGAAGCAAGTGTTACTTTGATTCTAAAGCCAGGTTAATATCCAACTGAAAAGGAGAACTACAGGCCAATCTACCTAATGAACACAGATGCAATAATCATCAACAAAATACTGGCAAAAAGAATAGAGAGGATTATACAGAAGATTATACACCCTGACCAAGTCAAATATATCCCAGGGATGCAGGAACTGTTCAACATATGTAAATAATAAATTTAATACACTATATTAATAGAACAAGGACAAAAATCATTTGGTCTTCTCAATAGATACAGAAAAAGCATTCAACAAAATCCAACACCTATTCATGATTTTAAAAATCTTGCAGAAAATTGGAATATATGGTCTTTATCTCAACATGATAAAGGCTATCTATGAAAAACCTACAGCCAGTTTCATGCTAAATGGTCAAAAACTGCAAACCTTCACGGTAAAATCAGGAACAAGACAAGGATGTCCATTAACAAAACTCCTGTTCAATATAATTCTGGAAACATTAGCCAAAGCAATTAGACAAGAGAAAGAAATAAAAGCAATAAAGATACATAAGGAAGAAGCAAAACTGTCATTATTTGCTGAAAATATGATACTCTGCCTAGAAGACCCAAAAAAACTCTGCCAAAAAACTTCTAGACTTAATTGGCACTTTCAGCAGGGTAGCTGGATACAAGGTCCACACTCAAAAATCAATAGCCTTCTTGTACACAAATGACAGAGCCACTGAGAGTGAAATTAGGAAAACAATCCCTTTCACAATAGCATCCCCCCCAAAAGAGAAATATCTAGGAATCAATCTAATAAAGGAAGCAAAAACAGTACATTGAGAATTAAAACACTCTGAAAAAAAAGAAATAAAAGAGGATATAAGAAAATAGAAAGACACCCCTTGTTCCTGGGTCAGAAGAAACAATATAGTGAAAGTGGCCATACTACCAAAACTGCTAAGCAGATCAAGACAATGCAATCCCATGTGAAATCCCAACAGTATATTTCACAGTACTAGCAAAAACAACCCCAAATTTCATTTGGCATCAGGGGAAACCTAGAATACCAAAAGCACTTCTTGGCAGAAGAGACATAGCAAGGTATATCACATTCTCCAAACTGAAACTATATAACAAAGGAGCTGTGATAAAAAAACAGCATGGCACTGCAGTTCCCTGGGAATAACAGTGTGGTCCAGACTAGCAAAGCTGCAGGCAGATCCCAGCCAGGAATATGCCCCAGCCCCAGAGGCTAAGCCAAGCCCTCCCAGGTTAGGCTCAACCAGGAAAGAGCTGTGGAACCCCACTCGACAGCTTTGGTGAGTGTACCCAGATGTTGGGTAGCAGACGTGTGGTCCAGAACAGCACAGCTGCAGGCACATCCCAGCCAGGGATCTTCCCTGACTCCAGAGGCTGGGGCAAACCTCCCCAGCCAAGGCCCACTCAAGAGGAGCACAAGCTTCAGAAAGAGGCCCACTCCATAGCATAGGTGGTTTGAACCGAGGAATTAGTGTACTGGTCAACAGAAGAGAAAAGTTCCCTTGGTGGCTGGGTGAGAATTGAAGACCATTGGGTGAGCAAAAAGTTGGAAGGCTGCATTTGTTGAAATGAGAAGACAAAGGGAAAAAAATCCCAAAACCAGACTTCCAGATCACCTAAGGAAACCCCAAAGGGAAACGAGATGGAACAAGCTGTTACTCAACAACCTAGACTACCTGAACTGGCAACAAAAGAGAACTTTGAAAAACTGAAATCAGAAATTTCTCAGATAACAGCAGAGATTGTGCCCATAATGCAAGATTAGTAAATCTAGAGCAGGCAGAGATAAAAATAGAGGGCCCGAGGAACATGATGGAATCCCAACACAGGAAACAAATAGAATCCATAAAACAGATTCCAACAGATTTCGAGGAGATTAAAAAGTCCACTGAAATTTTATGCAGCAGAATAAGCCAATGAATGTGAAGAATCTCAGGTATAGAAGATAGGATTGCAATTATTGTCCAGGAAAGGAAATTTTTCTTAAAAATAGGAAGGGACCATAAGAAATCAATCCAACAGGTGCCAGATGATGGAAAGAAGAAGAGGATAAGACTGATTGGAGTCAATGAAGAAACAGGAGAGAGAACAGATGACATAAAAAAACCTGTTCACAGATGTAATGCAAGAAAACATCCCAAGTAGGGATTTGACATGCAGCTAAGTGAGGCATATAGGGATGCAACTAGCCATCATAAAAATAAATCTACACATAGGCATATAATAGTTAAGATTTCAAAATCCAAACAGAAGAACAAAATTCTGCAAGCAGATACAGAAAAGAAACCAATCACATACAAAGGAAAGCCTATCAGAATCCTAGCAGACTTCTCAACACAAACTCAAGACAAGAAGAGCTTCAAGTGATGTATGTCAACCCCAAAAGAAAAACAGCCTCCAACCCAGATTGATGCACCCTACAAAACTATCTTTCAATTTTGATGGAGAAATAAGATATGTTCATGACAAAGAGCACCTTAGGAACTTCGTGAATACCAAATCAGCACTCCAGAAATTTTTAAACAGTATCTGAGGAAATGACAATGGAGATCACAACTGCAGGAAGCCCAGCAGAAGGAATCCATTGGGTATGACAAGAAATTAAGTGCAAAGAGGGAGAATCCAACCAAAAAGAAAAAGTTATGACAAGGGTAAGTCAGCACATATGAATCATAACCATAAATGTTAATGATCTCAATTCACCAATCAAAAGAAATAGATTGGCTGAATGGGTCAAGAGGCAAGATCCAACAATATGCTGCACACAAAAAACACATTTCATTCAAAAAGAAACTTATAGACTGAAAATTAAAGGGTGGAAAACAATACTTCTTGCAACAGGAACCCAGAAAAAAGCAGGAGTAGCTATCCTCTTCACATTTCATGTGGCTTTCAAACCAACACTGATCAAGAGAGACAAAGAAGGATACTATATCCTTGTAAAAGGGACAACCCATGGGGAAGAGATGACAATCATAAATATGTATGCACCAAACACTAGTGTACCCAACTACATAAAACAAATACTAAAAGAAATGAAAAATCTAAGAAGCACTAACACAATAGTAATGAGGCACCTCAATATCCCACTATCACAAATGCATCAATCAACTGGACAGAAAATACAAAATACTAGGACTCAATCAAACTCTTGAACAAATGAACTTAACAGATGTTTACAGAATGTTCAACCCCACAAAATCAGAATACACATTCTTCTGAGCTGCAAATGAGTCATTCTCCAAATAGACCGCATTCTTGCTCATAGAACATGTCTAAGTAAGTGCAAAAGGAAATGAAGTAATCCCTGTATATTATCAGATCTTACTGAAATGAAATAGGAGATCAATAGTAAAAGAAACCACAAGAAATTCACAAATGCGTGGAAATTGAACAACAAACTTCTGCATCACCACTGGGTGACAGAGGATATAAAAGAAGAAATCAGACAGTTCCTACACTGAAATAACAATCACTGCTTCACTGCTGGTGGGAGTGTAGACTGGTTCAACCACTGTGGAAAGCGCTATGGACATACCTCAAAGAACTAGGATGGAAATCCCATTTGACCCAGCTATACCCCTGCTGGGTATCTTACCTGAAGAATTAAAAGAAGCATATCTTAGTGATATATGTGAACCAATGTTCATAGCAGCACAGTCTATAACAGCTAAAGCTTGGAAGCAGCTCAATTGTCCATCAACTGGAAACTGGATAAAAAAATGTATGTGTTTTTTTAATAAAATGAAATACAGCCATTAAAATGATAATTTAAAGATATAACTAAATGGACATACATTGGGGTGATAGTCTTAAATGCTATAAATAGGACACACACATGTAAATACTGATTAGTTTCTCTAGTGTGAGAAACTGAAAGTGTAAATAAGGACTAAAAGGTATAATCTATAATGTGAAATAGGAAGAAAAGGGATAAAGAGGAAAGGTAAACAGGAGGGGTAGTGGATAGGAAGGAAGGGAATGGAATCAATATGATAAAATGAAAAATAATGGAAACAAAGTCTTTGCAGATTGAAAGGGAGGGAGGGGTTGAAGGAAGGGCAGACAAATGGGCAAAAATAAGAACCAAGATTGATTATGTAAAGGTACAAATTTACAACAATGAATGCCATTATATTATATACATTAAATGTAACAATAAAATTAATAAAATTTTTATTAAAAAGTAAAAAAAAAACACAGCATGGTACTGGCAAAGAAACAGATCTGAGTATCAGTGCACTAGATAAGAAGATGCAGAAACAACTCCAGACATACTCAGCTACCTCATCTTTGACAAAGGAGCCAACCATGCTCACTGGAGGAAAAATAGCCTTTTAATAAATGATACTGGAAAACCCGTATTTCACCTTGGCATAGATTAAAACTAGACCCCTATCTTTCACCATGCACTAAAGTAATGTCAGAATGGCTTAAAGATCTAAATGTTAAAACAGAAACACTAAACTTGCTGGAGGATGTTAGGTAGATCTCTTGAAGATATTGACATAGGAAAAGACTTTAAGAACAAAGACTCAGTAGCCTGGGAACTAGCACAAAGAATCAACTATTGCGATCTCATTTTTTGTTTTGTTTTGCTATTAATCAAGTTTTTAATGAAAAGATCATAAAATAACAGTTTCTCCTCACTATACATTAAGGCTGCATGCTTCTAAATGGAGAGATGAGTCATCAGTGAATCACTTTTCTGACACTGGAGGACGGCATACCTGCAGCTCCAACCTGATTATATCCAAATGCTTGCAGGAGATGAATTCAATGTGATGAGTGACAATGGCAGGGTCCAGTACAGGAGTGTGGTTCCCAGTATCTCTCCCCCTCTCTGGGAGTACATAGTAGGACACGATTCCTTTTACAGTTCTAATGAAACAAAGCACCTATAAATCCATCCCTTCCCTTCTTCTCCCCACTATGGTATTTGCAAGTGGGACAGTGCCCAGCCAGGGACCCTCAGGAGAGCAAGGGGAAGCAAGTGATAGTTAGGGTGCAGAGAGGCTCCCCTCAGTACCTGGGCCCACAGGGCCCTGCCAAGTAGAAGGAGGGATCCCTGAGGACCCTCCCTGCCCTAAATGAGGTCTGTTGTGCAGAATATTTGAAGTCAATAAATTATAGCAATAAATAGCAAGGTGAGGTAAGAGGAGGGATTCCTAGTAGAAAATTAAAGAGGAGGGTGGCTGAAGCTGGGGTCATCCTAGGAAGGGTGTCCTGGACAGCCTCAATTCCCATAGCTCCCACCCATCCCTGGTTTGGAGTGTAATACTGAGACTCTGGTCAGGTCCCTCTCCTTTCCCTCATTCCTGGCATCTGATTCACAGGTTTAGTAACATCAGTTCCAACATGACTCTGGGGAAGAGCAGAACATTGCTCCCTTAAAGGTGGCATGACAGGACTGAGGACCTTGTTTGCTCTTCTTAGACTTGATACCTTCAGCTTTTACCCCCAAGCCTGAGGACAAAACAGATGTAGCACCTGCTTCCTGAGTCCTGCCCTTTGGGCTGCTGAGGCTTCCCTCTACTCAGGAAAGCCACAGGAGGGCAAGGATCTACCTGCCCACAGGCCCCACTAGATCATGCTCCTGAACAGGGGTATAAGGACCAGTGAATACTGATCGTGTTGCCCAATGGGCCATCAGCCCACTTTCCCTAGTGGTGGTGGATACAACCCCCCCAGCCAACTCAGTGAGTTTGGGAGTCAGCCCAGCTCCAGATTGTTTCGTAGGCTGTGGTATATGGATATGCTGTGAGTATCTGAGATTATTTGCTTAAAGCTCCATCTTTTTTCCATTTTTGCAATCCCTCACTATGTCTCAGTCAGGTGGGGGCAGGCAGAGGCAGAGCCGAGCATGCCACACAGCCACTCAAGCATCCCAAATCTGAGAAATGAATACATTCATCACTGCACAAACATTTGATACAAAAACAACACTATTAAGAGTTTTTGCACCATCTGTGCTGCATGGGGTGGGGATCCACTGAGTTGACTAAACTGTGCAAAGGTCCTGGCTTTTTGGCTCCAGTGAGACCTTTACATCAACTCACCCCAGAGAATCATGGGCAAAGAAAAAAAGGGAGCTTACTCCACACTGGGACCCAAGCCCAGACTCAGATGCAGTAGCCAGAGTGGACAGAGACCCTGTTCCTGCTGGTCAGGACCACAAAGGTCCAGCCAGCAGGCCTCAAGGGCTGGTCAGCACCAGTCCAATGTATGTGGTACCAGCTGGGCTTGGAGGGGGATCTCATCTTTTAAAAAAAAAGCTTCTGCACTGCAAGAGAAATCACCAACAGAGCTAAGAGACAACCTACTATATGGAAAAAATATTTACCAGCTCTTCCTCAGACAAAGGTCTATCATCTAGAATATATAAGGAACTTTAAAACAACCCCCGCCAAATATAAAGACCCAATTCAAAAATGGGCATCTGAAATGAATGGAGATTTCTCAGACAAAGAAGTAAAAGCATCAAATAAGCAAAGGAAAAAATGTTCAACATCACTGATCATTTCAGAGATGCAGATAAAAACAACACTGAGATTCTACCTCACCCCACAAAGAATGGCTGCTATCAAGAGATCAACAAATAACATATACTGGTGGAGTTGAGGGAAAAAGGAAACATTCTTCCTTGTTGATGGGAGTGCACACTGGTACAACCACTGTGGAAATCAATATGGCAATACCTCAAAGAACTAGGATTGGAAGTCCCATTTGACCCAGCTATTCCTCTGCTAGGTATTTTCCCCAAAGAATTAAAAGATTCATACCAGTGCTATATTGCAGCCATGTTTATAGCAGCACAGTTTGTAATAGCTAAAACTTGAAAACAGCCCAATTGCCCATCAACTGCAGACTGGATAAAGAAGATGTTTTCTTAAAAAATAAAACGGAGTACTACTCAGCCGTAAAGAATGCAAAACTAGAGAAATTTATACCTAAGTGGGTGCACATTGATGCCATACTCTTAAATGAAATTAATAAGACACACATGTAAATACTGAAGAGTTTCTCTGGTATGAAAAACTAAAAATGTGAATAAGGATCAAAATGTATGATTGATATTGTGTAGTAGGAAGAAAAAGTCTGAAAGAGTAGAGAAAGTGTGAGGGACAGGGAAAAGATAAGAAGGCAAAATTTAAAATATGATAAAAGGAAAAACATGGAAACGATGTCTTTGTAAAAAGGGAAAGGTAGAGGTGACGAAGGGAGGGTTTGAGAATAGGGAAAAAAATAAGAAGCGAGATACACCATGTCGATAGAACTTATGTAAATAACATAAAAACCTATAAAATGTTAGAAATATAAATATCTTAAACACTACCTTTTGCTTTTGTAATTTGCTTTGCTCTGCCTGTTTCATAAAATACTGTGGTCTCACCATTGAAACTTAGGCACGTAGCCAAGTTGCATACCAGAATGAGACCAAATGTTCAAGCTAAAATAATAGTCCTTGAGCTATAAAACTCTCTGTAAAGTATGTGGCTGGCTGTGAAAGTGTCAAGATGGAAAAATAATTGTTAGCTCTGTTTTTCTAGCCTTGAACGCCCCCTTTCTGTGTACTGGAGTAGATGTCTAGATGAATCTCAAGGTAAGTACCCAAACTGCAAAGAACTGTTATATCTGGGTTAAAGATATCTTTAACTGTCTTGCGACAGTGATGCAAACTGAGGAGTGAAATGTAACTACATGAATAAGATTGTGGCTGCAAAACCCTATAAAACAAGAAGTAGTAACCCATAGGGTGTCAATCACTGCCACTGCGTTTTTTGGGGGCTATCGACCTTTGCTGGAAAAAGAAAGTTTTTATAATTTTACTTCCATTCTGCTTCCCTGTAAGTGTTATTTACCAATTCCTCCCACAACAATGTAAAGGTGCAAGATCCCAGTGATGAATGTAACTGTCTTTTATACATAAAATGTACTGATAAACTTATAAAAAAAAGAAATCAGAGTCAATCACATGAAATAATTGTTATGAAGAAAGAAGTTCTTGGGGAAAGAGTTAGGGTGAGAAGAGTATAGCAACTGTTTGCGAGATTGGAATGCTCTGCTCTAATGAAAATTACAGATCTGGACACATAATTTTAGAGGACACAGCAAACACAAGATGAAAAGTTACTTGAAGTATATATGACTGAAGCCTGGTCTTTCCTATCTTCTTGACCTAGCATGGTGGGGAAACATCATTCCACCCATATTGCTTGATTTTTAACTCCCATGCAAGAAAGTTCCACTTGCTAACTGTTCATTCAAACTTGAAAGAATAGTTTCCCTTTAATGTCAAAATTATCTCAGAATGGACAGAAAATTAAATCATCCTACCTGCTCAAGACCATTAAGAAGTGAGAACTTTGTCAATGTCTTTATAATTATTATGGCTTGTATCTCGGGTCTATCAAGAGCCTCGTGCTCATAGGTGGGGATTTGGAGGTGACCGGAGTATGAGAGCTCACACTTGACTTGCTGTTAGGAGGTGGGGTCTGGCCAGAAGAGATGGGTGCCTCGGTGGTGTGGTCTGAAGGGTTTCCTTCCCTTCCTGGCTCCTCCTTTCACTTTGTACTTCCCATTCACCATGAGGTGAGCAGCTTTCCTCCCCCAAGCCCCTTCCACTATGCTGCCTCTTCCTGGAGCCACCTGACCATGAACTGAAACTTCTACAAACCGTGAGTCAAAATAAACCTCTCCTTTAAGCTGCTGGTGTCAGGTGTTGTGCCCCAGTGATGAGGAAAGTGAATCAGACAGTCATAAAGGTAGGATTTCATCTCCATTAACAAGTAGAAATATAAAGAAACAATAAGTATCAAGGAAAAGGAGGTATGATAGTTTTTCAGTGAGAGGAAATAAGACTTAGTCTAAGAGACCTGGATGGGTAAGGAAAGTGAGGAGGATGTATTGACATGCTTACACACAATTACACATAGTCTTAGTGATTATGATTTAAGTGGTTACCTGGAATAATTCCTCAGCTCCGTTAAATTTCTCCTAAAGGGAACAGTTGTGTTAACATAAACCAGAGAGACTTACAAGTAAACATGGATATAAATACTATGATTCTTATTCAGGATTTCCTGCTGCCTGACTTTGATTTTGCAGCTGCCTCCAGTTCTATGAAAAGATGACACAGACAATGGCAATAAGTTAGTATTCTGCTGACAATTTTCTGCAGGCCTCTCTTGATGTCCTTGTTTCTCAGGCTGTAGATGAAGGGATTCAGCATAGGGGTGACCATAGTGTATATCACTGAGGCCACTAAACTGTCCCTGGAGGAAACTGAGAAAGATGAACTGAGGTACACCCCAAGTCCTGCTCCATAATACAAGCCAACAACCATAAGGTGAGAACCACAGGTGGAGAAAGCTTTATACCTGCCACCTGACAAGGAGCCAGTCAGAAGGGACAAAACAACTTTATAATAAGAGAAGCAGATCCCTGTGATAGGAACAAAACCAAAGATGATACCAAGAATAACTATGACTATATTATTAGTGGAGGTGTCAGAACAGGTAAGTTTGAGAAGCTGAGGAAAGTCACAAAAGAAATGAGGGATTTCTACATCTGAGCAGAATGCAAGTTGTGATGCCATTATGCAGTGCACTTGGGCATTCAAAAGACTGAAGGAAAATGACACCAGCACCAACAAGCCACAGAGGTGGGGGCTCATGGTGACTGGGTAGTGCAGAGGGTGGCAGATGGCCACCAACCGGTCATAGGCCATCACTGCCAGAAGCACACTGTCCAAACATCCAAAAAGAAGAAAGAAGTACACCTGAGTTAGGCAGCCCACATAAGTAATGGATTTGCTGTGTGTGTGTATGTTCACCAGCATCTTGGGGACTGTAGTGGTGCTAAAGCCAATGTCAGATAAGGACAGGTGGGACAGGAAGAAGTACATGGGGGTGTGGAGGTGGGAGTCAGAGATGACAACCAGGATGATGACCAGGTTCCCAAGCACTGTGACCAGGTACATGGAGAGGAACAGTCCAAAAAGAATAGGCTGCAGGTCTGGATCTTCTGAGAATCCCAGGAGAATGAATTCCAACACAGAAGTTAAATTATGTGGTCCCATAGAGCTAGGATACCTGTTGATAAAGAAGAGATTGTTGGAATATATGAAGCATGATAAAAGCAGTCAACCAAGTGTCTATATTTTGGGTGCAAGAAATTCAAAATAAAGTATATATGCTTGAGGATTACTAGCATTTGTGTATCATTTAAATGTGTCCTCCAGAAATTCATGTGTTGGGAGCTTGATCTTCAGTTTGACAGTGAGAAGTGGGGTGGAATCTTTAAAAAGTGAAATGTAAGTGACGTATAATGGTTCAGGCCTGTAATCCCTGCACTTGGGAGGCGGAGGCAGGAGGATCACAGTGAATTTGAGGCCAGGCTGGACTACATAGTGAGTTCAAGGCCATTCTGAACTACATGGGGAGACTCTGTTTCAAAAAACATAAACAAACAAGGAGATAGAGTCCAGTGGGAAGTCTGTAGTAGTGTTTCCCCAGCCTTTCCTGTTCCAGTGTGAATCTCTTACACACACACACACACACACACGCACACACACACACCTGAGATCCACAATGAGTTTCTCCCTAAAGCTGCCTCAATACTATGTGGATTTTTGGACTATGAATTATGAGCTAAGTAAATTTCTTTTCTCTACCAGAAGAGACAATAGGAAAAAAAACAGAATTTGTAGAGATGGGGTAGACAGATTAGAGAACATGGAGGGTAAAGTTTTTCCTCTCCAGGTGTTTCATTATAGTAACGTAAAGCTGAGTAATACAAGAACAAGGTGTCACTAGCAGTATTTCACAATTATGGAAAACTCTTGTCTTTCTTTTGTTTCTGTATCATCTGCTTATTTCCACATACATCTTCTTCAAAGATTCTGGTCCAAAGACAATTAAAGGAAAAAAGACATTTTGATATCAGCAATCCATCATTGCAGCAAATTATCAGCACCCTGCTTTTGAAGAAAACATGGACAATAATCCCCTAAAGAAAAAGTAGTCAAGAACACGAAGAAGCAATTTTATGCAATTTTCTTTTACCCAAATGCAATAAAGGAAATTCCTTTCATTTGTAAGATGTGTACACAGCCTAGATGAGCTAAATTTACATGGTCTTTATTTTAAATTTAAACCAAATTATTGATATAGAATTTTTATATCTTATCTCCAATCCTGAACATTTGGGAAGGGTTACTTTGGTATGAAATGCATAATAACTATGTATAGCTTAGGAATTTTAGTCCATGGTACTACCAAACCCAGCTCTGGATCCATAAAATTGTCCTCTGCTGGTTTAAGATCTTGTCAAGGTCTGTGAAGTGTGCTGTTGAAAATTGAATTGAGATTGCATTGAATCAAATAGCACTTTAGGAACTATAGCCATTTTCACAATATTAGCTCTTCCTATCCAGGCTCAAGGGATGTCTTTCCACTTTTTTATATGCTCTTCTATCACACTTTAAAAACTGCTGTAGTTATCAGAGTAGAGGTATTTGATTTTTTTCATTAAGTTAATTTCTAGGAATTTTTTTGGATGCTTTTGTAAAAGGAGTTGTTTCTCCAGTTTCTCTCTCAATGAGTCTGTTGTTCCTGTACAAGAAAGCTATTGATTTTTGTTGGCTGACATAGTATCTAGCTATTATACTAAATTAGGTTCAACATCACTGGTCATTCAAAGGATAGAAATGAAAGCAATGCTGAGATTCCACCTCACACCAGAAAGAGTGGCTGCTATCATGAAATCAACCAATAATGTATGCTGGTCAGGCTGTGTGCCCTGCTTGTCCTAAAAATGAAAAGCATCATATCACAGTGATATATGTGTACCCATGTTCATAGAGGAACAGTTTGCAATTGCTAAAATCTGGAAACAGCCTGGTTTCCCATCAACTGGAGACTGGATAAAGAAAATGTCCTTTTTAAATAACATGGAATACTACTCAGCCATAAAGAATGAGAAACTTGGAAAGTTTCTCTGGTGTGGAAAACTAAAATTATAAAGAAGGTTCAAATTGTATAATTGATAATGTGAAATAGGAAGAAAGTGCTAAAGGAGTAGGGGAAGTTAGAAGGATAGGAGAAACGAAAAAAGGGAAAAGAAAATATGAGAGAAGGAAAAATCAAAACAAAGCCTTTGTCAGTAGGGAAGGGTGAAGGGTTTAGAGGGCGGGCAGGAGAATGGGGAAAAATAGGAACCAAGACCTGTCATATAAAAGTACAAGATCCGAATGATGAATTTAACTACTGTATAACTAAAATATACCAATAAACTCAATTGGAGGAAAAAAAAGAATACGAAAATAGAGCCACTTGTAGATAAATGAATGCACATTAAGGTCATGCTCTTAAGTGAGATAAAATGGATACTCTTAAGTGAAATAAATAGGACCCACATGTGTAAATACCAAATAGTTTCTCTGGTATGAGAAACTGAAAGTGGAAATAAAGATGAATATGTGTAATAGATAATGTGAAATAGGAATAAAAAGTCCAAAGGGAAGAGGAATTTGGAAGGGTAGCAGAAAAGAAAGAAGGGAAAGAAAGAAATTTGAGAAAAGAAAATAATGGAAAATTCTTTGTAAATAGGGACTGAGAAGGGAGAGGCAGGGGAACGGGAAATAGTAACAACCAAGATAAATTATGTAAAGGTACAATTCCCAATGATGAATGTCATCATATTGTATACCTAAAATATACCAATTAAATTAATTTTAAAATGTTTTAAAGATGTTTTCAACTGAGCAATTTCTCATGGTGGGATTGCATTTCTCTGGAAGTGAGCTAGGCATTCCAACCTTTCATTTCTCCTTGTAGATAAAAACATCATTTAATTTCTGGGAAGAAAGCAAAACAGAAAGAACAGAAAAATGATATTACAAATGCATGTGTAATTCGTTCATCTGTAAAATGCTTAAAATTGATCAAAACTACTGAATAGTAGCAGAATATGCCTGCCCAAAATATGTCCACTGAGCAGAAGAATTACTTGAGCTGAATGCATTGAGAAAAAACATGCACAGCATCTAAAATAAATAAATAAATAAATAAAAGCATCTCCCTGTATCTACCTATAAGTGGCACATGAATTTACAAACTTGTCCCTTCTTTTTTTTAAGAAAAGCAAAAGGATTTTTAAACACTGAAGACAACTTTACACAGTTTGCATTTAAGAGATACACCAGAGTGATTTACATATTATCCTTGTTAAAAGTAGCCCTTATCGTCCATTAGGCTTTCCACAGATTACCTGCCCTCAATTTGCCATGCCTACCAGCTTAGACTTTTTCTTGGTCCAATAAATTTTCCTCAAACCTTATACTTTTTTTCTTAAGATGTTATACAACTCCAAGTTTTTTTTTCCTCATTGAGTTTATTGGTATACTTCAGGTATACAGTACAGTTACATTCGTCATTGGGATCTTGTACCTTTACATGACAGGTCTTGTTTCTCATTTATTCCCCTTGTCCCTGCCCTCCCTTCACCCCTCCTTCCCTCCCTCTTTACAAACACTTCATTTCTATTTTTTCACTTTCTCATATTTTTTTCTTTTCCCTTATTAACTTTCTCCTACCCTTCCCACTTTCCCTACACCTTTAGCTCTTTTCTTCTTATTTCACATTGTCCATTGTATCATTAGGATCTTATGTACTATTACAGTTTATTCACACCAGGGAAACTATTCAGTATTGACACATGTGTGACTTATTTATTTCACTCAGGAGTATATCCTCAATATGTATCCATTTTCCTATGAATGAATCTATTTTCTCATTCTTTATGGCTGAGTAGTATTCCATTTTATAGAAAAACCACATCTTCTTTATCCAGTTTCCAACTGATGGTCAAATGGGCTGTTTCCAAGTTTTAGCTATTACAAACTGTGCCGCTATAAACATAGGTGTGTGTATATCTCCGTGGTATGATTCTTTTAATTCTTTTAGAAAGATACCAAGCAGAGGGATGGCTGGGTCAAATGGAACCTCCAGTCCAAGCTCTTTGAGGTATCTCCATATTGATTTCCACAGTGGTTGCACCAGTCTGCACTTCCACCAACCATGGAGAAGGGTTCCTTTCTCCCCACAACCCTACTACAACTCCAAGTTTTAACCAGCCACCTCTTTGTCTCACTAATTTCTGGTTATTCCCATGAGTATGTGTGGTGCAACTTTGTTGTATTTCATTTTTGAGACATAATCTCTCTAACTTGCCAGGCTGCCTTGAACTTGCAATCCTCCCATCTTAAAGTCCTTAGAAGCTGTGGTTATGGGTATGCACATCTGCTCTGATTTTGTTCATAATTCATTGAACTGTTATTATCTATTTGCCTGTGAGGCTGCCTTTTGTCAGCCTAATTTTAAGGGAAGCAATTGAATAATTTGAGATATGCAAAAGGAAAATATTTTTTCCCTTCAGTACTCAAAGTGTTGCTGTAAGTTATTAAATTAAATAATAAAATCCAAAGTACTTAGACAATGGTTCTCAATCGTAGTTGATCATTATAATCACCTACTGATCTTTATAAATCTGCTTATGTGCTGGGCACAATGTTGAAATAATTAAATAAGAATCTCTTACACAAACATCCTTTGGACATACTAACACATAAATATAACATTTATAAATATCACAAAACGTAGTGTAAATAACAAGAATTTTATTGTTATGACTAACACCAACTACCTATATTAAAATTATGAGTATTTAATAACATTTGCTCCCGAACTCACTATAGATAAAATGCGAAGGTCCTTTTGTGAACCCTGCACAATTTCATTCTCCTGCCCTTTCGTTGGCTGAAGCCAAACAGAGTCATGAAGTTACTGGATACACTTTTTTTCTATTCAATCTTTCATAACATTAGAAGTGTTGGATGGCCATGAAGAATTTTACTGAAAAATTAACAAAGTACTATCATACTATGCATATTATGTCCTGGAAAGTTTCATCTGCCAGAGTAACGATTGACTTTTTCTGTGATGTGCATGAGATTACTTCAAACACTAAATGATAGGTACTATTACGTGGGGATTTTATTGTTGTTTATTTATTATGATATTCCGAAGAA